GAATCGCTTGAACCCAAGAAGTGGGGGTTGCAGTAAGCTGAGAATGTGGCACTGCACTCCAGCGTGGGCAACGGAGAAAGACTCCATCTCAAAAAAAACAAAAGCCACTCTCCTGTGAAAGAGTTCATATCATTCATTAGAAAAAATTTATTGAATAACCCCCAAGTAGATAGTCCTCTCTCCGTATGTTTAACTGTAATTAAAAAATAAAAAGTATCTAAAAAATACAAAGCACTGTAGAAGTTTAGATATGGTGGAACACTTCTACGTAAAGCAGTTAGTTTCCAACTGCTGCTTTAATTTAATTTGTTAAGTCCTTTGCATTGCTCCCTACCACCTACTCCCTACATGACCAATTCCTTATTTCACATCTACCAATCACAGGTGGCCAAGTGTGTTGAAATGGAGTTATTACAGCTGAATTTTCAGAATAAATGTGCAATCTCAGCTTTGAAATGCAGCAAGTATGAACTCTGAGTAATAGTCAAAGTTTGCTCACAGAATCTATAACTGCAACTGTTATCTATGACATTCTTTGCTAGGCTGTGTAGCTTATTTAGTGTGATCCATATGCCAGGCGAGCGGCAAGGCCACCTGCGTTGCCAGCCGTACAGCACACACTCCTGACATTTCTCGCATTCTCATCGACTGCTAAGCTTTTAACTTCACATTCCCTGTCTTTTCCTTCCTATTCAGATCTAAGTAGAAACGTGATTGGCAAAAAGGCATATTATCATCGGTGACATTTGCATTTACCAAAAGGAGGGTAAGAAAACATTTTCACTGGCAATAAAGTAAAAGCAAATGTTTTCTTCCACTTGTTTTGAAAGTCTTCCTTAATGATTTGAGGGCAGTAGTTTTACTAGCTTTTAAACGCTTTTTGGAATTGAATGGAGAGGAAGAGTCAGGCAAAAGTGTTGTCACAAGATCAAGGTAGGTGAACTGCCTGAAGAGAATGACTATGTACACTGTGATCACCTTTTTGTGATCTCAGGGTTGATGAAATCCTAAGCTAATCATAGCTTTCTTACTCAATAATATTGGCAGAGAGACAATTTTAGATTTCTATGTATTAAAACATTTACTATTAGTTCTAGACTATATTATTTGGAATCATAAGAGAGCAAAGACAATGGTTTGGGGTTTTCACAATGGGAAGTTGTGACAGATTACATCCAAAAAAATCCCTGTTGTCTTTGGGACAGTACTAAAAACAGAAAGGGGACTTAACAATTTCTGCAAAATAGAATTAGCTAACAGAGTGCAAGATGGCTGTGAGTAGTTTTCTCCTATTCTTCTCCAAGTATTTTGGTGGCCCTGTTAAAAGATTTCATTTTACTTTCTCAAATTATAAAAATATCCTTACTCAGACATACTGACATTGTCAGCTTTCTCAGTACTACTTAAGACATGAAGGCTGATGTTTTTGGAAATGGCAGCCTCATACCCATTATTTGAAGGTTAGAATGTGTTTTCTAACCTGCAGAACGAAGGAAGCTAGTTTAGTGTGATCATAGTAAATCTCCAAACACAAGAATGAAAATGCCTAGAGCCCATGGTCACCAAGTAACCACACTTAGTGGTCTGCGTGTGAAGCCGGTGCTCTGTCTGCATCTTGTACACATCTTCTTCCCTCTTTCTTTTCTTCTTCTTTCACGTGAAGATAGAGCCAATAACATCCTATGGAAGTTTTACTAAATCAAGGCAAATTCACTTAAATCAGGGGTCAGCAAACTACAGACTGTAGGCCAAATATGGGTTGTTGTCTATTTTTGTGAATACAGCATACTGGCTCACAGTCATGTCTATTTGTTTACAGACTCTCTCTGGCTGCTTTCCTGTTACAGCATCAGAGTTGAATAGTTGCCGAGTAGTTGCGACAGATCCCATATGGCCTAAACTCTTTCCTGTCTGGTCCTTTACAGAAAAAATAAGTTTGCTGGCTCTTAGTTTAAATCATTTTTACTCCATAATTCAACTACTTTTTGAGAGTAAAGCTAGAGATTAAAGAAAAAGGTAGGGAATGACACTCAGTGAAATTGACATGTTCACTGTATAAGATTTTCATTTATTTAATATTATTGTTTTGAATCAGGGTCTTGCTCTGTCACCTAGGCTGGAGTGCAGTGGCACAATCATAGCTCACTGCAGCCTCAAACTCCTGGGCTCAAGCAATCCTCCTGCCTCAGCCTTCCAAATAGCTGGGGCAAGAGGCATACACCACTATGCCTGGCTAATTTGTTGAGACGGAGTCTCTCTCTGTCACCCCGGCTAGAGTGCAGTGGCGCGATCTTGGCTCACTGCAACCTCCGCCTCCTGGGTTCAAGCAATTCTCCTGCCACAGCCTCCAGAGTAGACGAGATTACAGGTGCCTGCCACCATGCCCGGCTAATTTTTGTATTTTTAGTAGAGACAGGGTTTCACCATGTTGGTCAGGCTGGTCTCGAACTCCTGACCTTGTGATCCGCCCACCTTGGCCTCCCAAAGTGCTGGGATTACAGGCATGAGTCACCGCACCCAGCTAATTTGTTAATTCTTTGTGGATACGGGTTCTCCCTAAGTGCAGGCTGGCCTTGAACTTGTGGCCTCAAGCGACACTTCCACTTTGGATTACAGGTGTGAGCCAGGCTATATAAGATTTAAATATAGAAGTAGATTCCATATATTCATGCTATTCTAATTTGCTATGGATTGTGAAAATGTCAAGGGGGAAAAACTAGCATTTATTAAGAATCTACATATTCTGGGTACTGTGTTAGAAATTTTCCATGAAATAGGTTATATGAATTATGTCAACAAAATTTTCCTGGAGATGGGATCTTAGAGAAAAACAAAAACAAGTAAACCAACAGGCATATGGGCACTCAGGTTTTATGGATGGCCCCAGACACAGAAGGGGGCAGTTGGCTCCAGGGTAGTCACTGACCGCTCATAAGTGCCCAGATATAAAAGGTTGTTAAACTTAAGTCTCCCAGTTTGAAATGCATTTTCCCTCCTGTGCAAGGTCAGAAACTGATGATTTTGGAGGTACTCCCTGTAGTTCTCTTATGTGTACTATAAATGGAGAATAAAATGCAATAAGGTAGGAACATGTACATGCTCATTCAGCAAATTAATGATAGCATCTATGGGCACACAGGTATTTTGAGACAATTATTTTTTCTAAATGGTGACTTAAAAAATCATAAACTTTTATAGCCAGCATGAATTAGACTTAACATAGTTCAGATTCAATTGCATTTCTAGAAAAAGAAACACAGGGATAGTAAGTGACTCATTTAGGCAGACTGGTATTGGTAACAGAATCAAGGCTCTCATGCAGATCTTCTGAGTCCCTGTTCACTGTTCTTTTTTAACCATGTTATGTTTTCTGGGTTCATTTTTCATTTTTGGATCCATGTTGATCAGAAAGGGAAACTGACACAGTCATGGTGTTCACTGATTATAGACAAGACATCTCATCTTTTGTCAGAGTTGCTGGGAAATATTCAATCTAATTTTTTCCCCTGTACACTCATACATTTTTGTTTCTTTCAAATTCAATATATGCCTTTTCAAACATGTGTCTATTCTTTTCGGGCTTGCCTGTCTCTGTAAATTCAGTTTTCTCTTGCAGCAATGCCTCCGTCTTGACTTTCCTCTCTGAGCCTGACTGATTTCTAGTTGCGCCCTTCATTCTTGGCTTCTGGATCCCTTTTGAAACAGTGAGCAGCACTCCATCCCTTCTTGGCAGACATCTACCCTCCCTTTCAGAGAAGAAAGAGTCAGGTAGGATGTCTTTGAAAATAAAGAACAAAAAATGAAAATGACAGAGCAAACCAAACAGTAAGAAAATAAGGCTTTGCCTGAAAGAAAAAAAAAATAGTACCAAAGGAAAGAGAAATAAAATGGTACTGGCAAAATATATACTCTTTTCTATTCATTTTGGGGCATTCAGAGGGCCTATAGGGAGAGGAGATGTCATTTTTCAATGCAGAGATGCTGCGTATCCCTCAAGCTGAGCCCAGACCTGCCTGGCCATCAGTGTTGCCCTGGAGAGCATCACCCCCGCCTGTCTCATCTAAAGTAATAAAGCCCATTATGGATCTCTCTATTCTACTCTCAACTAGAAATGTTAGTGCAGTAATGAGCAGTGTCAGTTTTAGCAGCATGTTCATTCATGGTGCCTAGGCAAGCTTTTGCTTATTTTACATCCTCTGGCTTCAGACCCAAAAGTTATCCTCAAACTTCTTTTATTCCTATTCAGGCAATTGATTTTGTAGGTTGAGCGTGTCCTCATTAAGGGTTAAAGAATGCTTAGGGTTACCCGATAGTAGAGGGGAGATGTGAGAAATTTGCTTGTTTGTTTCTGCATCACTGGCTTAAGAAAGTGCTCTGTTCGCTCACAATCTCCAAGATAACATAGTCTAAGTGCCCGTTTGGGTGACCCAATTAGCAAACCTAGAGATGGTACCAAGAACCAAAGTAGGGATTTTCTATAATGTTGCAAAAGGCAGAATGGGGTAGCAGGAAATGTCACACAGGGTGTCTTTCTCTTTTTTTTTTTTGGAGACGGAGTCTTACTCTGGTGCCCATGCTGGAGTGCAGTGGTGCAATCTTGGCTCTCTGCAGCCTTGACCTCCCAGGTTCAAGTGATCTTCTCACCTCAGCCTCCCAGGCAGCTGGGATTACTGGCATGCACCACCATGCCCAGCTATTTATTTATAATTTTTTGTGGAGATAGGGTCTCGCCATGTTGCCCAGGCTGGTCTCAAACTTCTAGGCTCAAGTCATTTGCCTGCCTCAGTCTCCCAAAGTGCTGGGATTTCAGGCGTGAGCCACCACGCTTGGCCTACTGTTATATTCTTGCTCTTTCTCCACTTAGTGGGAACACACATGAAATATGGCCAGAGGAACTCATAAAAATATTGGGGCTCAGAAACTACATGGTTTCACTTAGCCCACTTTATGTTTCCAAGTTCTCTTAGTAACATCTTCTTCCAGAAGGTGTCCCCAATTACCTGTTGATGCTGTTTTTCTGTGCTAACATCTGCCAGTCCTTGCCTTTGGCATTGGGGGTATCAAATGTAGCACAAATCCGCTGTCTGATGGAGTAGGGAATTTTGAAGGCTTTGGGGCCAGTCTGTGCAGGGAAAGTGCTGTCCTCTTGTGCGAAGAAAGTAATGGTTTCTCGTTCACTCTATAAACAAAATAAGGAATGCATGATCAGATCCATCTGAAAGCAGTCCTGATCAACACTTTTATTTTTTAAGAAAACCTGGGTTAACACACATGCACAAAATGCTTGCTTGTTGTGATGGACTCTATAAAATACATTGATAAGTTCCCCTTTCTTCTAAGATAGTAAAGAACTTCTCTAGTAGCTTAATAAATTGTGTACTGGAAATTTACAACAGCCTCTTCCACTCAGGGGAGTCACAATCACCAGCTTCAAGCATTAAAAGAGCTGTCAGAGGCTGGGCACAGTGGCTCATGCTTGTAATTCCAGCACCTTGGGGGGACAAGGTGGGTGGATCACCTGAGGTCAGGAGTTGGAGACCAGCCTCGCCAACATGGTGAAACCCCATCTGTACTAAAAATACAAAGAATTAGCTGGGCGTAGTGGCAGGCGCCTATAATCGCAGCTACTTGGGAGGCTGAGGCAGGAGAATCGCTTAAAACTGGGAGGTGGAAGTTGCAGTAAGTTGAGATCCCACCATTGCGCTCCAACCTGGGCAATGAGAGCAAAACTTCACCTCAAACAAAAAACAAAACAAAACAAAAAAACTATCAGGTGAGAGCAGAATTAGACTCTTTTTCTGTTTGCTTTGGCTCTCAGGCATAGCTCTAGAATCAGCAGGAAGAAGCTACCAAATGACAGATTTCAGTTCAGAGTGAAAAATGACCCTCTGCTAGTCATAACTGACTAATGGTGAAGGTGTCGATCAAAGGAGCTGACTAGGAAATGCCTTGTAGGAAAGCTACAAGGAAATGATGGTATTTAATTTTGTTTTTTTTTCCCAAGTCCTAAAGTTGTATGATTTCATAATATCTTTATTTCAAAATTAAATAAAGTTGTTTCACAATTAAATTGCTTTGGTATAACAGAGCCAGCTTTGAGTCAGAGTAACATATAGACCAGCCTGTATAGTGGTACAATCAGGAAGGCTCCTGCCTGCCTACCTGCTTCTGGTTTCAAACTGTCCAATAAGAATTTGCCATTTCAGTGTTAATCCTTATATCCAACATGAAATCCCACAGAAATGTGCCAGACTGCAGTGGTTGCTAATAAATTAAGTGGACTAACAGAATTTTAAGGACTGAAAACTATCTGATTGAATTCCTTCAGTGATTATAAGACAAAAGGGATTCTGATGTAATTAATGTCCCTAATCAGTTGACTCAATCAATTAAGAGATTTTTCTGGGTGGGCCTGACCTAATCAGGTGGTCCTCAAATGAGAGGAGATAGCTCTTGTCTGGAGGCACCTTTTCTCCTGGCCTAGAGGAAAGCAAACAGCCCATCTATGAGCTTCCTATAGAGGGGGTCATGTATCTGGGACCTGTAGGTGGCTTCTGGGAGCTGAGAGTGACCTCTGGCCAACAGTCAGCAAGATAATTGAGAACTTCGTCCTAAAGCAATAAGGAACCAAATAGTGTCAACAACCTGAATAAACTTAGAAAAGGACTCTAAGCTCCAGAGAACACGCCCTGGCCAACACTTTGGTTTCAGTCTTGTGACATAATAAATAAGTGTTGTTTTATGCTTTTAAATTAGTGGTAGTTTGTTATGTAGTAGAAGAAAACTAATCCAAGGGATAAGTAAAGCATCAGATCTAGGATTGAGTTAAGGGACTAGTTAGAACTGTTTAAACTCCAAGAAGCTGTCCTTTGCCTTAGAAACTTACCTGTTGTGCCCTCCAAGTTCACATATGCCCTTCCTTCCCTCCCTGAAATCCTGCCCTGACGCCTCTTCCAACTGTTAAATGTCTTCCTAATGTGGGCACATAACCATGATGGTCTTTTTCAGCTAGCAGCTGGACTCACATAAGTATAAACTATCAGGCTTGGTAGGTTGAAATTAGAGTCCTTAAATCTGTTAATTGAGAAAACTGGTTGATACAGAAATTTCATTAATGATTGATAATGATTTTTGTCTTTCTGTAACTATTTAACACAGTTGCATTTTGAGGGCTCTGCTTCTGGAAACGCGATGCCTTAATCCACCAGTTCCAAAAGGATATCTCAGAAGAGATTCCAAGAAATGGCAGTTTCATGGTCACACACATGTGAGAAATGCTGCATATCATACACTCTTCTTGGAACCTCAAAGTACATGTTATTATATTAAACAGATTCTACTTGCTGGTTTTAGTTACGTTCCTGGAATACTACAAAACAGTACTCATCAAAACTATTCTAGTATTTGAGGTTATCATAATATAACGGAAATGAGCATGGTTTTTAGAAGCAGAAAGACCTCACTTTGGAGTAAAACTCAACACTTCCTAGTTCAGTGACCTTGGATGCTACCTTATCTATCTCAGCCCCAACTTCCTAATCAGTTATTTTGCATTTGTATAGACTCCACAGAGGTTATGAAACCTGGAAAACTTCACCCAAGTAGTTTATGACATAGGTGAAACTAGAATTCTGACATCCTAACAACTATACAAGTACTTATTTCACTATAGCACCCTGTTTCGAGACAAGTGCCAAGAAATCTACAGTGCTGGGTGGTTAAGGAAAACGTTCGCTGAGTACCATAGGAAAGACTTCATGGAGGAGGCGTTTGAGTTGGCCTGTAAGATAGGTAGGCATTGACCAAGTAGAAATTAGGTGGATAGGTGGTTATTCCAGGCAGAGTGGACAATTCTGTTCTGATATATTGAATGGTTATAAAATGAACCTACTCAGCTTCTTTCTGCTTAAACTAGGTTACAAGATACATCATTTTTATCATGGTTTGTAAAATTTGTTCTAGTCTCTAAAAATGCAAATCAAGTAGGAATAGTATCCTTGCATATTTTCTGACTGATAGAAACTAGAAGCAGATTTTTTTTTAATTCTATACAAATTAACATGGTAGCTGTCATTGTCAATGCCAAAGACGTGGCTTATCAATGAAACTGAAAACACTGGATGTGTCTGTGCTAAAGGATCCCAAGGGACAGAATTGGCCTCTGAAAGCCCTCATGGCATCTATAAATTGTTGACCAAGCTCTCTCTTCACTGGGGGCAGAAGAAAAACCAACTTGATGCATGATATCTTCAAAGAAAGCTGAACAAGGTGGTCTTATTTGAAGGGGAATAAAGTATTATATGAGATAGAGTCTAAAAATAAGTAATTTTCCAATTTACTACACATTAATAAGTGGGTCCCCATTTCCCTCTTAAAGTTCTCAAATTTAAATATTTTCCAGGCATAAGGATTACACTTTATGTAACATTTATGATGCATTCTAAAAGACATCTGGGCCAAGTAATAAGAATTCTGTAGATACATCACATTTTCTGATTGTTTAAATTAGATATGCAGAGAAACAGTAGATTTTCATGCTCTGCACATCTGAGATAAGCAGCTGCTACCTGGTAAGCTAAGGGAGTTGTAAATCAGTGAGAAATTCCAACTATTCTGTCTGTTGTAACAGACAAATTATCCCCCAACTTCCAACACTTTTGGAGGAAAGATGAGAGAACTGCTTGAATGGAAAATTGTAACATGCAAGATTCCTTTAAGTTGTTTATATTGAAGAAAAGATTATTTAATAATGTTACCTTAATAAGGAATGATGAAATAAATTACTTGGGAATTTATCCCTTCTTTTCAATATTTGCAAAATTGTTTTACTCCAGTCCACAATTTTAGACTGTTGATACTGTTGCTCTATAGAGTATCGATTGGCAATAATCATTAGGTAATTCAATAGGGTTAAATTTAAAGGTAACAACTTGTTTCCAAAGACTGATACAACAATGACCTCTCTAAAGAATAAAAAAGATATATTATCTTGGTCACAAAAATAACTTTTAATTGTGAAGGTGATATATGAAGGACTGGGTTTATTTGAAAAATCACTTAGAGGCATGAAGGGATATGTCAGGCATGAGGCTGAACATGAAGGATCAAATGCCTTCAATGAGGATAATTACTGCACTGACTTAAACATTTAAAGCAGTATTTAAGATAGCTATCTTATTAATATTTAAAAATCAATATTTAGATATAAAGTATTTTATATATCTTAAATCTTGATCCTATATATAAATGTTAATTATATAAATATAACTTATTAACGTATTAAACCACCTAAATGTAGTCTTTTTCTGCTTAGGGAACATGAAACATGATGCACTTTAAAAATCAATCTAGTACTCCTAATTCACTGATAGAGACCTGGGTCTAGAATGTATCCTGCACCTCCCCAGGTCATCCCAATTTCTTATCCCAATTTCTCAGCACTTTCTGTGTCTTCACTTCTGCTGGAACCATTTACCAAAAAATTAAGCCATTTCAGGGAAAAGAGGATAGTTTTCTTTTTGTGAGAAGAGTCTCTCTCACCCAGGCTGGACTGCAGTGGTGTGATCTTGGCTCACTGCAACCTCTGCCTCCTGGGTTCAAGCAATTCTCCTGCTTCAGCCTCCCGAGTAGCTGGGACTACAGGCACCTGCCACCACACCCATCTAATTTTTTGTATTTTTAGTAGAGACGGGGTTTCACTGTGTTAGCCAGGATGGTCTCGATCTCCTGACCTTGTGATCTGCCTGCCTTGGCCTCCCAAAGTGCTGGGATTACAGGCGTGAGGCACCACGCCCAGTCAAGAGGACAGTTTTTATTCATTACATGTATCACCAGATGCGTATCTTTCCTGGGAGTCAGATAATCCCAGGATTAAATGGGTTTGAGCAATCATTCAACAAAGACATCCATTTGTAGGCAGAGCTACATGTAGGATCTCCATTAGAGAATGAACAATTCTAGTCCATCACACAGATGGTTACATCCCATCCTTTCTTCTTTTGAAGAAAGAACTTCTCAATTTTCATATACTTTCAGGTACTTGAAGACAAAACTTCTGGTGCTATGATGTTTGCCACTAGAACCTGAGCCCCTGAACAGAAGCCATACTATGAAGAAGGCCCACAGTTAAGGCTAATTCATTAGATGGCCTTGACTGGGATCCAGAAATAGTGTAGTGGAGTAGTCAGACTTTGATCTTGAAGTCAGGTCTCTGAGTTGGGTACTGTGGCTCCACTCCCTTATGAGTTCCATGATCTTTGATCTTGGACAAGAAAGTTGATGCCTTTGAGACTTTTATAGCATGTAAAATTGTGATAGTACTAATACTTAATCCACAGGGTTTTGATGGTTGTATGACAAATATGAAAGCAAATGAAATGATACCTGAAATATAGTGGCTTACAAAAGTTATTAGTCATCTTCTGACACAGAAAATGAGAGCAAATTAGACTTGTCCAAAAAAATACAGTTGATCACAAAGTGAAGATGACAACCTGGGCCAAATTCTGCAGGAATGTTTGAAGCAATTAATAAAATGATCCTTGAAAGGATCGAAGGGTTAATAAAGCCTCTAAAATGCAGCAGCCCTCAAATTGGATGACTATAGCCTAACAATAAATATTGAAATATTATTCTGATACTTGCCTCTCATTATCAAGAGATATTTAATGTTATCTTCTACAAGGCATTTCTAAGTGACTGTAAACTTGTGAAGCATTAGAAAAGAAATTGGGGAGTAAACAACAAGATTGTGTTTATTAGCTAACTTTCCTTTTAAGCACTTTAAGAATTTGAGGCAAGGAGCAAAAATACCTATCACATTCCTCTTACATAAATATCCTCTAATAGCACAAGTCGATCACCAATATCTGGATGCCTTTACAAACAATAACCTATAAACCTGAATTCTTTCATTGGCCTGTTAATGGACATCTAGGGCAATTTGGATGAGAGGGATCTTTTATGTTATGCCTTTTCATGCTTCCTTCTGAATACCAGCTCTTCTTAGATTTTTTGTTTTTATTTTTAAAACCTTTCTATAATTTTTATTTTACTTTGCAATGCATCATGTGAAATATAGTATCACTGTTCAAGAAAGAGCCCCTAAAAATATCCTACCCCAGGTTTCCAGATCTACCTTCTCCGTGAAAACTACTTGAGCACATAATGCTAATTGGCAATAATGAATTCAAATACTGCATAAACATGTCAGTTAAGACAGCTATCAATTTTAAGGCACAATCCTTTGGAAAGCCATCCACTCTTCAGAAAAACTATTTGGGGAATTAGCAATGCTCATTTTGCATAAACAATGATTTCAAATGCGAATAGAAGGAATAATGCTATAAAGCTATAAATTTTCCAGGAAAAACCCCTGAAATTGAATTGTATGTATATAAATGTGTTCAATCTTCTGCCAAGCTTAAATTTATAAATATATATTAATAAATGCATATATATGTATAGATTTATAAGTGAAAAGCAAAATATGTATTTTTTTTACACTAATCTGTAATGACCTGGAAACTGCCAAACAAAAGCATCATAATCCCTCTGCTAATCTCCCCCTCTATCCCATTCAGGAAGGATGGCTATTATCTACTTTATAAGCTCATGTTCAAAGCCATGAAGTCACTTGGTGGTTTAGGACAAATGGGAGCCATGATGGAAATCAGATGCCTTTTTGCAAAAGTTCTCAAGTGAATCCTCCCTTGACTGCTACTTTAACTCTATCTTCCAATACTGATTTGACCTGGACAAAGTCCTTTCTCACTTTGCACTTCCATTTCCTTACCTTATAGAATGAGATCCTTCTTATATTATTGTATTGTCCTGTCCTCCTTATATTATTGTATTGGAAGGGAGTAACGGAAATGGGGATGTACAGAATTCTGAGCCTGGGGAGCATGAGAAACAGTAAGACAGGGAGTCTCATCCCTGGAGATAAAATAACACATATAGGGCAACTGACTTCTGGAAAACTAGTCAGAACCAGCAGAAAAACAATCTGAGGGTGGCTTTGTGCCTCTTTGTGGCATGTGTCTCAACTGTACCATCTGGCTTCAGTCTATAATGAATCTCAGCTGGTAATCCAAGTCTGCTGTGGAATGAGACTTCTTGTGATTTTGTGTATCAAAAGCTTGGTACCAGTTCCTTCCCCAGAGGTACCTCCACAGTCTAAGCTCTCTGATGGGTTGAGCTTCCTTGCCCAGGGGGAAGTTTAGTTCAATCCTCGGTGTGAAAAAAAGTTTATTTTCCCTTATCAGTAATGAAGATGAAGACTTTGTGCATTTTGAAGCTCTTTCAGAACCTGAATAGCACGGCTGGTAGGTATAGCTTTATTATTCTTATCGTCCTTCAGAAAGGGTCAAATGACCTGTAGATCAAGGACTCACCTCTAGGATTGATGTCTGCACTTGGAGGATCTGTTCATGGCCTTTGAGCTGCCGAATGCAGATTTTGCAGGACAGCTGGGTGGTGGTGGGCGTGTAACGCTCCAGGGAGAAGGCACAGTGCAGGGGCTGCCGGTTACTGCACCACACACGGGAGAACGGGACTTCCTGCAGGGGAGACGGAGAGAAGGGATGGTTTGCAGGGCCCAGCTGAGATGAACTAGAACAGGAGAGACTTAATAGCGATGATGATGAGGAGGAGGACGACGATGAAGACAATCACAGCAGAGATAATTGCCTAGGCAGCTTTAGTGGAATTGTAAAAATAATGTTCCAGCAAATGCCAAGCAGCACAAAAGTAATTAATGTCAATTCCAATTGATAACATTTGAATTCCAAAACCGCACTGCAAGAGCTCAGATTTCACTTGGTGACACACAATTAGGAAGAGTAACATCAAAAATTATCATTTTCATTCCCCGTGTAGAAAATATTTTCCTTTGGAAGACTCCTGTGAGCCATGCTTCTACTTCGGTCTGGGGGAGGACGTTATCTTTTTACCTATGTAAAAATTATGCTAAGGAGCTGATTGGCCGGAACTTAACTCCATACCACAAACTCATGCAGAATTGTGAGAACACAATATTGCTAATGTATCCAACATAAAAATTAATACCTAGTGCAAAATCACACACATATACACACAGACAGGGAGACAAAGAGGGAGGAAGGAGGGGAGAGAGACAGACACACATACAGGGCCACCCCAGAGTGATCTACTTCGTCAATTCTTCATTTGTTCAATTTGTCCATTCAACCATAATGTATAAAGTGCCTGCTAATGACCAGACGCTGTACTAGGTAAACAATAAGAAACAATAACAGATTCAGTCCCCCACTCTCAGGGGACATATGGACAACTGAGAGGCAAAAATACCTTTTAGTAAATGAGGAGGGAGATGATAAAATCTATAGATTACTCATTTTTCCTAGTATTAGCCATTGCTTGCTACCAGACTGTGTCTAATAATGTGAAGTAGAAGTTAGTCACTGAAATTTTTTCACGCACTAAAAGGTCTCTCTCCTTTCTAATCAAATGTGGCTTGGCCCTTAGCAATGACCACATACGCCTCTAGTAATCCTCATGCTCACTTTTTTCTCTATTTCTCACTTTATTAGTTTGCTCATTTCCCTATTGCTAAAAATAAAATTTTCCGCAATACTAGAACAGAAAGGTGGCAAGACATGTATCAAATCTGGAAGTTTGGAACCCTGAACTAAGACTGGTGATGAAGCCAGCACGTGTCATGAGACTAAAGAGCATGACTGAAATGATCTTTTCCCTTTGAGAAGCTATACGTTACCTAGTTATTCCCAAGCCCTTATGTGCACACTTGTTTGGATACCTTGCTTCCTAATTTTCTCTATAGAAAGTCCCATAGATTTTTATTTTGGATGTTTACTGGTAGACTCAGGAAGGAGGGATGGATGGACTCTAGATTGTTGTGAACTTGAAGAGAGGAGAGCCAGCTTTATGGGGGTATGAAATAACAAAATCAAATATTCTACCATGCATCTTAGCAATAAATTGTGGGTCATTTTGTTTGTTATTAATCCGGAACCAAAAGAAAAGTGGAGTTTCAAGAAGGATGTAGAGAAGGTCTACAGGCGAGAAACTATCTGGCATTTCACAGACTTCATTCCTGTGCAAGAAGTGGGCTGTTAGAATGGAACTCTATCTTTGCCATTCTCTGTTCTTCCCCATGTGGAAGGGGCTTGAAGACTAAAAACTACATTTTAAAACTCCCCTGCTGGCAGTTCACATTTCCATTCTGCCCACAAGAAGCACTCATGCTAGATTTGGAAGGGAGAGGAAGTGCAGAAGCCATCACTGCCCATCTAACATCAGCAGGCAGACCTAAAGGCTTCAACTGACAGCCCAAGAAAAGTGTGCAGGGGCTTCTGGACATTCCCTGGTGAATCCACTGCTTTAGTGCTGGTGCACTTTCCTGAAATTCCTGACCTGACTGGTTTTCTAATACCACTAGTAGCTTTCTCTGACCTTGGCTCTCCACAGAGGTTTCGTAATCATATAAATCCCTTGATTAAATTTCCCCTCAGTTGAAATGTCTTGAGTGCCTTCTATTTTCTTGACTAAAACAATTCTTGATTTGAAGAAGTTATCTTAGAAACTGATGTGAGTTGGGCAACCCTGAAAGGGGCTACTACTGAGTTCCAGAGGGAGGCTATTGTTTGGGGAAAATGCTGGAAGAGGCACCAAGCTAATGATCACTAAGGAAGCTTTTCGTTGGAGGACAACTTGCTTGCACCATCAGCTGACAACACATGTCCATTTAATGGTATCGCTTTCCCACTTTCTTCTAATACAAAAAATTTTGCTTATGATCTCTTCTCTTTTCTCCCTGTGGTAGATCCTGCAGCAGAGGGCATTTCTGGTTGGTGGGGCCTCCTGGCAATGCCTACAGGAAGTCATTTTCTCTAAAATACTCCAAATGACTTTTCACTTGTATCATCATGTGCACTTACATGGTCTGCCATTTCTCCTTGTTATCTAATGTGATTCTTTTCCTAATTCTCCTAAGCTTTGTTCCACTTTGTAAACCATGGGCAGCCCTTCCTCCACATCTCAGCCTCCTACACTTCTCTTTCTGCCTTCTGTACTGTTCAAGATCCATTTGTTCACACATGCCCCAACTGCCATCTCTCTGAGGAGGACTACAAAAACATCATCTCTGGCATTTATTCATTATCCTCAATCCCTGGTATTATACCCCTAAGCGCTACAATAATTTTGTTTGGTCTTCTCTGGTAAATTTAACTTTTGGAAATTGATTGCTATCATATCTCTCCCATTGTTCTTCTCCTCTAATATTCTGGTTTCCATTATGCTTCCATTATGGCTAACTCTGGTCACCTACTCCCAGTCTTCCTGCCTTCAAGCTCTACTACACAGAGCAAATGAGGGGGTTGGGGCTGAATGGGAGAGGCAAATAGCTCAGGAAAGCAGAAAGCAGCTGATTGGGATTATTCAGGGAATAGCATTATGGTCTTTTTTTTTTTTTTTTTTACCTCTAATGACTGGGCAGGCATTGATGTGACCAGGCCACCTAGGAACTCTAAATTTATTACATGAGTCCTTTGCTTGGGGGGCCACAATGGAGCTTTGATGCCTGCTGTCTCCTGCCTGGCCTTCAAAGTCTTTCACCATCTCTTGCCCTATACTTGTTCTCTCCATTCTTATTTTTATTAGCCCTCAAATAAACTCTCTTCTCCAAACCAGTGAATTTTTGTAGAATTGCTTTGCACCATGCACTTCAATGAAAGTAACCATAACAGCACTCTGGAGTTCACAGGTACTTTTGCCTAAGGTGGTTTTGCCCAGCTAAGCTAAGTAGGAGATGCTTCCTAAAATTGAAATTTGAGTTATTATAGTGTAATGCAAGCACTTGGACTTCAGGGCTAGACAAAAAACTGTGCTCAAGGTCCAGCTCTTAAGCAAATGTACGTTTTCTGCAATTTGATTTCAATCGTTGGTAATGCTTGCCTTCCCCCCCCCCCCCCAAAAAAAAAGGCACCGACCACTCATTTAAAAGTGTCTTCTCTGGTATCATTTGCTAAATTCCCTGTGTTTTCTCCTAAAACCACTGGAAGAAATATAAAAGAGTAATGCCTACTGCAGAGATAATTTTTCCTTGCAGAAAGACATGAGAATTAGCACCAAAAAACAATAAAACAATAGCCCTCTTTTTTCTTTTCCATTCCATTGAACACAATCCAAACATTTAAAAAATCTGATTTTAAGACAGTATCAAGGGAATGCTTTTTATTGTTGACTTGAGTAGCAGCTGCCAATAGCATTCAACAAAACATTTTAAAATAATAGAATTAGAAGTGCCATGATTAGTGTGTTTTCATGGCAATCATCTTCACTTTCATTTATTCAAAAAAACAAAAACAAAAAACACCAACAAGCTCGCTGAGCTGAGAGGAATTATGTGGAAAGTAATATGGGAGGAGAAAGTATAGCAAAGTTATGGGTGTTTAAAGAATTCCGGAAATGTTTTCATTTTGACTCCTATTATAATTAGGTTCTTAGCAGATGGAGAGAATGTAAATCATATCTTAGCAGGAGACAGACACTGAGTTCTCCAAGATACATAGCATGCTGGAAAGACAGCTGCTTTTACCCTAGGGAGGTGACAACTTGACTTTGTGTTTTGTTGGCTTTTAAAAATAATAATTTATTGTATTATGTTTATTACAGCTCCCCTACCCCACAGCCAGCAAGGAATAAAGGAAAGTGATTTAGGAGCTCCCAGGTCCCAGCAAGGAATAAAAGAAACTGATTTAGGTGCTCTCAGGTCCCAGTAACCTATTAAAAGTAGAATTATTTCCCTCCCAGAGGAGGGTTGCTAATTCTACAGAGAGGGAAAATCATATATTCCTAATTGTGGTAGAGTCTTAGGGACTGACAAGAAAATGGGATATAATGAATTGTTTACTTGGGGAGACTAGCATCATGGACCTCAGGTTTTCTTTGAACCAATGTCAGTGGCTGCTACCATGATGAGATCTCAGAAGACCTGACATAGCCTTTCCGACTTCTCACTCAATATACCTGGCTTCATAAGCAATGACATCCATAAAGTGTAATCCTCCAGAACCTAAACCAACAAGATTTAAGATCTAGTTGGTCCTTCAATATACAGGTTCTCATCACATATCTCTGGGTCCAACCTTGAACTCACACCACTCTAAAAACATTTCTCATGCAGTTTGTTGGTGTCTGATAGGGAAAACATTGTATGTACTGGGCACCTCCCCAGCCTGTACCTTTCTGGGAAATTTCTACCTTTCCCAGAAGAAAACAGGGAAGATTCCTAGTAGAGTAAGGTTTGGGTACCAATTGTAATATGTCGGCCCCCAGACTCCTGATTTGAAGTTAGAGAAAGGGAGATTCACCAACTGAAGGAGAGACCGATAAACGATGTCAGGAATAGTGTGATTTTCTCTCTCCACAATAGCTCTCTGGGATAACAAGAAATAGGCCCTGTTAGTTCCTAACCACTAAGCCCTAATGAAAAGCCATTCTCTATTATCCACGCCAAGTTTGTCAGTGCACATGATGTTCTACATGAGGTTCAAGCAGGCTGAACACAAACCCTCCCCTAAGTGCTTACATCTAATGCCCAGAGCAAACACAGCATGGTCATTAAGCCAAGCACAATATGCATTCGCACAAGCTGAGGATTTCAATGATGAGAGGGGCAAGGAAATTGGTGGTAGGGGTGATGAAGAGAAAGGAGGAATAGAGCGGAAAGCCATTTGGGGTAAGAAAAATGAAGTGGAAATGAAAACTCAGTGGCAAGCCTCCTGATGCAGAGAAAATTAAATTGTTTCTCAGCCTTCCAAGACTCTTTCAAATTATGCTCAATTACAAAAGGCAAATATTTATACATGTTCACAACTTCCATGTAATCCAGCCCATCCCAGCAGTGAAGCTTGCTGGGTTTCCTTGAAAGTCAACGTCCTCTGGCTTTGGCTGGTCCTGTTGTACCCTCTGAGGTCAGTAAACACTTAGCCCCCTAAGTCGCTTCTTCCTGGGGCTCTCTTTGGTATCCCTGGTGTCAGAATTATTGTTTAAGTGATGCTGTAAGGTAATGGTTCTTTCATCTGATTTTTTATCTCCAAGCATTAAACTTAATAGTTCACTTTGGACTGAGTCACTTGCATCAGATCCAGTGAAATGAGGCCCTTATAGCCTATAAAGATTAATATGGAGGAATTTGCATGACTATCAGGACTTGTTTTAACAATACTCCAAAGTTCAATTTGGACTAGAAACTTTGAATACTGCTTACTGGAAAGCAAAGAGACCTACACCTTGAATGTCATAAACTATTTATTCATAGAAAACTTCTCTCCATGGAAAAAAATGTGGTGAATGTGCCCCTGGCCCTCCCAGGGGGAAAAAAAAAATGTTCAGGGCAACGAGAGATGGTTGTGCTGCTTTGAATGCACTAAAATTGTACAGACAGGCAATTCCTCAGGTAATAAGTCTGAAAAGTCAATAGAAAAATGCAGCCCTATCCAGTTTAAAAATCCTGAATTTTAGAAGTTGGATGGTTGGTGGTACAATGTTTTTCTAACCATCGTGATGCAGTCAAGGTTTTTTCTTTGTGACTAGGCTTGTTCCCATTCTGACAAGCTGGTATACCTGTGTATAGTTAAAAAAAAAAATGCTGCAAGGATGGAAGGTTACAAAACCCAGAGGACTCTACACATTACGCTGATGGGCAAAACAAAGAAGCCTGAAAGCATTCTGTGATTCCAGGTCAATGTGAGTCCACCAGAAGCTTTTCCAGAGCGAAGGAAATATCCTGTCCTTAGGCACTTGAAGTAAGACGACTGGCTTTAGAAACTATGGAGGCTAGCGAGCTGCTTACTGTAATATGTAATATGTATCACTGGGAATTTTCATAGACTTGTTTATAAGAGATCTTTTAAGGCTAAACATGTACTTGAAATAACTAAATAGGATCCAAAGAGATTCTGAGTCTCCCTAAAATGTTTTCTTTGTTTGCTTTTTGTTTTTGAAATCTCTAACAGGAAACATATGGACAACAAGTACCTTTAGATATTTATAAAAGGACTCTTAAGAAGTGTTCTGACCAGGCGCAGTGGCTCACGCCTGTAATATTAGCACTTTGGGAGGCCGAGGTGGGCAGATCACCTGAGGTCAGGAGTTCAAGACCAGTCTGGCCAACATGGTAAAACCCCATCTCTACTGAAAAATACAAACATTAGCTGGGCATAGTGGTGGGCACCTGTAATCCCCAGTTGTTCAGGAGGCTGAGGCAGGAGAAGCACTTGAACTCAGAAGGCGGAGGTTGCAGTGAGGCAAGATCACGCCACTGTACTATACAGCCTGGGCAACAGAGAGACAGACTCCATCTCAAAAAAAAAAAAAAAAAAAAAAAGAAAGGCATGTTCTTTTTCCTTCCCATCTTGCCTGATTCATTTGGCAGCAAGTGCACTTCATATATGAAAGAATAAAATCTCTTGTTTTCATCTGGCTAGCCATAGCTCTCTGCAACTCAAAATTATCACCCTTAAGAAGTTCCTCACTGACATTCAGTTTATTCACTGCTGAATATGATAAAGATGCTGTCTCATAATGAGCTGATTTTTAATAAAAACAAACCAACCCACCAACCTGGCTCTATGTTGTTAAATTGGCATCTTCAACCTATATTGAGCAATGATTCCAACAGGAGAGAAGAGAAGCACCATCTCACCTAACGTGCAAACACCTTTCTTCCCACCCGTTAGAATGCTGTGAATTTATGACAATATGTTTCACTCCCTGTGTGTAGCCCAAACTGTTACATTTCTGTGACAGTTTTAAGGCGAAATCCATCCCTTAAAGGAGAAAAATCAAGCGGACCCTTGCCAGGATCTGTGACATGCTTGCTGGTTAAAGCAAAGCCGTTTCTGTTAGAAACCCATTTGGCCAGTACCTGGCAGGCAGTGAATGGTTTAATTCTCCAGAGGAATGGGGGAATATCAAGGACAGAGATCTGAAGACTAAAGGTATTCCCTTTGAAATGCAGCAACTTTGGTTCTTCCAGGAGCTGTCCACCTTGATGCCTTTCATCTGAAACCACTTCCTATAGGAGAAGAAAAAGAAAAGGGGATCAATAATGAAATATCCTGCTTATATATTTCCTATCTATGGATATGCACGCTCACTATCATGTGTCTTCCACAAACGGACAGACAGCATAGGAGAAACTTTATATCCCCGTAGCCCATAAAGTTCAAGACTAAGGATTAACAACTGCTGAGTGACAAGTATTTGGTTAGAAAGAGACAATATTTTTGTTATTTGTGTTGCTTAGGGCTTTAAACTACACTGTGCCTTTATTTAAACCTCAAAGACCTCCCCTGCCCCCAAGCAAATCATAATACTTCTGGGTTTCCACAACTGTAGGAATTTCACTCTGTGACCATAATCAAGGGATGCATTCATGCTCAACCTGACACATCACCATATTTCACACTAACTAGAAACAGCCCCCCTCCACTCTGGTTCAATTTTTCTTCACTAATGCAGGCATTATATGATATTTATTCTTTTGGCCTAAAACAAATGTTCCAGTGTGCATGTATCATGTTTATTTGTAGTAATGTTTGTAAAAGTTATTATACCAAAAGGCCAAGAAAAAATAAGTTGTTTATCAAGGTAGCTGTAGCTCAGGAAAACAGAAATCAAATGCCTGAGGAAACACTCCTGTAGCTTTCAGTGAAAAATCTTTATGTAATACAATCTAATACAAACTCAATTCACATATATTCTGTTGAGTAAACCATTTCATTGGTTCCAAATTTGTGGTGTTAGAATCATATTGGAGAGATGATATAACAAAACAAATACACATTCAGTGAAGTGCTAAATGATTGTGCGGGACTGAGGCTTTCGGTGTTACTGAAGATAAAGAGATCTCCCTAAGTCCATTTTTAAAATCACCATTAATTGACATATTATTTCCTTGCAGAGTTAGGAGAAATTAAAAACTGAAATCCTTTATGTCCTATAATCTCAGATTCTAAAAAAAAAAAGACTGTTAGAAAACAAATAGGTTTATAAACACAATCAAACTTACATTTCAATTATCAATGAGTAAAAACACCTTTACTTCTTATCTTATATCCATCTCTTGTCCATAAGTAGAATGACAGTAACAAAAATATTTTTGACAAAAAGTCATCCAAGTTTTATCCTTCACGTACACATAAACTGTTAATAGGTTGCTAGTATCTTTTTCCAGGACTGAATCAGTGGCATTTTCTCCAGCTCTTTGGTGTTGCTTGTGGGAAAGGTGTTTCTTGGGGCCCAAGGGTCAGTGATAAACTAGATGTGATGATAGAAATATTCTATCTCTGTGTGGTCCATTATGGTACCCACTAGCTACAGTGGCTATTAAGCACCTGAAATGTGGCTACAGTGATGAAGGAGCTGAATTTTTAATTAAAGTTAAATATCCACATGTGATTAGCAATGACCATACTGGACAGTATAGTGCTAGGTAATTCACAATCTTGTGGATTTCAGAGTTGAACATGATAACATGGTAGCCAATGTCTGGTGGGGGCTACAAGAAATGGAAGAAAAGAGGCACTATGGGGAGAATAGGAAATTAATTCTAAATGACTGCTTGGTTGAGACACTAGGTGGTCTCTAGTCACTGGTTCCTTCTTTTGAGATTTACTAAATTTCCATGAGAGCTATGTTAGAGCTGGACACTGGGTGTGCAGAAATGAAACAGTCTCTGCACCAAGAAACTTACAATATTGTGAAAGGGTCAGGACACTACGCATTGATTCTAATATAGTATATATTACCATACATGTATTCCTAGGAGGTTAAGGAAGACAGAAGGTGCCCCTGACCCGGATGGGAGGACAGACCAGGAAAGGAGTCTGGGCGTTACTAGGTGAGGTAGTATTTGAGCCAAACTTTGAAATAAAGGGAGGAGCTGGCCACTTGACAAGGAAGGAGAGGACATTCCAGATGCTGAGCAGGGCATTCACAAGCATGGTGGCTAGACAGAGCTGGGATGGAAGGTTGAGGTGGAAAGTGTGTGATTGGAGATGATGAAAATGTGGGGCAGAAACCAAATGACAGATTGTTGCTTGCTACGCTAGGGACTTTGTATTTTATTTTTGAGTACTGTTGCTCTGGCTTTAACGTGCATTAAAACTCTTTTGGTGTCTTCATGTACTCAAACGAATACAAGTCTTGTAAATTGAAGATAGCAGCATAAAATTCTAATCACATTTCTGTGTGGTTTTGGGCAAATTATTTTCTTTAGACCTCAGTTCCTTACCTGGGTTTATTTATAGCCAAGCAAATTAATTAATATATTAACCTCTTTTTGCAATTCTGGTGCAAGATTAGAAACAAGTACAAACAAGAAATGTGCTTATTAAGACCATATTAAAGCCATGGTATAACAGCAACGCTTCCAAGTGTACTTGAACTAGGATTTCTCAAGTATACCCTTTTCTTTAAATTTAACTTTCCTTAATGAACATGAAGTAGTCGACACCAGGAAATGAAGTGACTTCTTCATGGTCATGTGTTACTTAGTGTAGTGCTAGACTAGTTTGTTATTTAGACACTACACACAATAGTTGTATCGGAAGGGAACTTAAGATTTAGAGCACCAAGTGCCTTATTTACACATGAAAACATGGAAGTCCCCTGAAGAAAGTTATTTGCCTAAAACCACATGGCTAATGGGAGAGCTGAGACTAGATCAGGGCAACTTGATCATGGTCCAGTGTTTTTTCTTAGATTTCCCTGCCTTTTCTTACTACTATGCTTTTTTTTAAAAAAAAAGTCATGTGAAGGTCATTCTGTGATTAACTCTGTCTCATAAATAATTTTTCATTGGTGCAGGATATAAGTATAAGACGATGTAAGTCAATCTGTATGTGCCCTAGAGTTATATGTACTGTCTACACAGTCCATGAAACTCAGAATGGATAATATTACAAATTTTAAAAATAGATATCTGTTTATAATTATCATGGAAGAAAATAGTACCTTTTTAAAAGTTCTGCTCTAGGGCCTCAAATTTAAATACAACATGATTTATTTTTTGCTCTTTTCACTTACTCCTTAAATCTGCATATATTAAGCCGACAACATAGAAGTAACAGTGTCTTATAATCTTGTACAAAATATTAAGCAATTACAGTTATTCTATAACAAAACAATTATTAAAATGAAAAAGCCCAGTAATGAATTAATAATTGTATTTATAAATTTGTAAAGGCACAATTGGCTTCAAAGTTAAATAAATAGACTCCTAAGTATGAACTTCAAAATACTCTCCAAATACAGTGGATTGCATTTAACACAGGGTTCCCTGAGCCTACTGTATTACTCTAGGAGGCTAGGTCTGGGTATTTATAAGTATTTCTTGGATGCTTCTGATGACCAGCCAGGCTTGGACAACTCTGCTTAGCTAGTTCTAAATCACTCATATGGATGAATTATATCAAAAGTGAGGCTTGATAGTAATTTGATTTTTCCAATCTGCCTTCTATGTGACAAGGACCTCCTGTTAAATACCTCATTCCATTGTTAAACTGATAATCTGAGTAAATGGAACTAGGAAATAGGGTCTGGCCAGTTTTTTATACATAAAATGCACCTGAAGTCTCTGGATGGTGGTTTTTCTCAGCATTCTGTTTCATCATTTTACATTGGGGTTGCAAGTCATCCAGTTCTAGGAGCTGTGGCCAGGAAAAACTTGTGCTTTGTGTCTCACTGAGCTCTTTATGTTGATTTAGTCAGACAGGCAGCAACATTCAGGTGTGCTTCAGGGATAGTAAAACAGGCAGGCTGAATTTACATATTTATGAGACAAAACTGTTTGAACTTAAACACACACACATACACACAAATTATGTCACTATGTTTTCCTTTAAATGCTTTACGTGAACAATATTTCCCAAGATTGCATTATTGAGGAACACAAGAACTACATCTAGAGGAAATCCTTTGAAATTAGATTCTAAATCCACCTTAATGCCGAGTAAGTAATGAGTACCAAGAGTACTGTATAGGAGTGCTGGGAGCAATGGCAAAAAAAAAAAAAAAAAAAAAAAAAACCAAAAAAAAAAAACCAAACAAAAAAAACCCCTAGTTGTTTTTTCTATTTTCTTTCTTAGATAAGACAGGGAACTGCTTAATTTCTTGCTTTCCTATGTCCTATGTCAAGGTTTGTTTGAGCTGTGCATGCGTGTGTGTTTTTGTGTGTAATAAAAGACAATAATCAAAAAACCAGGTCTTAAAATGTTACTGCTTCGAAGATATATCACCATTTCTCAACCTTTGGTTTGAATTTATCAGAGGAGGCGATGTCAAACATACAAACATAAAATGGCAGTCCTAATTATTACAAAAGCACAAAAGCAAGGACAAGAAGTCATTTACTCATTGTCTTCTTATTCTTTTCTCACCTACCTACAGGCAGATGACATTGTTATTTTTTAAAAACATAGCAGATTTAATTTTTCATAGAGACAATTTTAGCTGTGTTTATCAGAACAGATCTTCGGAAATCTGAAACTAAATTATGTCTTGGCCAGGTACACAAAGTATTCTGTTTTTGTCAAGGAAATTGCTACTATTACTCAGATAAGCTACCCCCAGAGCAAATGAGACTCAAATAGAGTAGACCTGTAGGGGGTACACGGAAAGGAAGATAGGACTAAAAATAGAGAATGTCCCTATTTAGACATTGAAATTCTCTCAAGGAATATTCTACGGTGGGCCCATTATATTGCCTGGTCCCCACCTAGTTCTGAGAGGACAGGTGGAGTTGAGTCTCTACACGTTCCTTCTCACCAGGTCTTCCGGGGAGAAGGTAGGCATTTCAGTGTTTTATGGGATACAATCTCCGAGTGAGACATGAATGAAATGAAAGATGCAACCACGCACTTAACCTCAGCTTCCTTTTGGTTAAGAGCACAGAGTTGGGCCCTTATCTGTTATCATTCTTTGAGATATGAAAGATGCACTGCAATAAATACAGCAGCTGTCACAACCATGCTCACATTGATTTCCTAATCACAACAAACATATCATCATAAAGCTAGTTGAAGCACATTCCAGGGTGGGCAATTTCTGCAGAAATGCTCTATGAAAAATTGCTTACTGATTTTGATTAAGAAGTCAGGGTTCTTTGAGGGTTGCAGAAAATGTTATCACTATATACTATATTTTCAACTTACGCCACAGAAGTTGGGAGAGCTAAATACCAATTTGTGAGGTCATTTAGGGGTTCAAAAAGGGAACTGTCATTAAGGCTTTCCTAAAATAGAACTGTTTTAATGGGTTAGTAACTAATTCCCTCCTCCAATGCAATACCATGTATGAAGCCGTCACAATATGAAATGATTTGGGATATGCAGGTGATCAAAATAAATCTCTGCAGAAGGCCCTGAACACATTCACTCAGCAAAGTAAAAATCCAGAAAGCAGGACAGTTTCAGAAACAAAACTCAGAAACTAAGACTGAGGAGTAAATGGCTGTTTCCTGTACTAGGAAGTCTCAGTTCAGAAAAGCCACAAGTTTCATTTTAACCCATATGTGGGCCAGAAAAGTTATTTAAGCAAGGTTGATGATCTTTCAAAACCCCAACGGGGACACATGGCCTTTCTGCTCATGACAGCTGTCACATACATCCTGTCAATAACAAGTACAACCAAACGCAGCTTTATTTGCCATTATAGGAGAGAGAAAGAATCACTGGAGGTAAAAAGATTAGGACAAATGGGGTCAAAGGTATTTCTACCAAAAAACATTACTCTAAAGCAAAATTAAATAAATATCTCTCGACTGGGCGTAGTGGCTCATGCCTGTAATCCCAGCACTTTGGGAGGCTGAGGTGGGTGGATCGAGACCATCCTGGCTAACATGGTGAAACATCATCTCTACTAAAAATTAAAAAAAAAAAAAAAAAAAAAAAAAAAAGCCAGACCTGGTGGTGGGTGCCTGTAGTCCCAGCTACCCAGGAGGCAGAAGCAGGAGAATCGTGTGAACCTGGTAGGCGGAGGTTGCAGTGAGCTGAGATCATGCCACTGCACTCCAGCCTGGGGGACAGAGCAAGACTCCATCTCAAAAAAAAACAAAGAAAAAGAAATACCTCTCAATGATGAAATACACTTGGATTCAATTAGAGGGAGAATAACATTCTCCCTAGTACTGTCTAAAAAGATTCTATTACCAACCAAAAATGGTTAGTGGTTTGAAAACTATGGTTAGGGTGTTTTCATGATGTCCACAATAATTGGTATTCGTCTGTGAACAGTGGAGCCATGGTAGAATAGAGTAGAGATGAAAATAGATGATCTGAAAGTCACTGAGAACAAACTCTTTAAGTATATGTCTATCTCACTGCCATATATATCAGCTGGGAGACCCTTATTCAAAGAAAACTCCAAACTGGTTATGAGGGCTGACTTCCAAGACAATTGTGTGAACAGCTCCACACAGTCACAGTAGTCAGCAGTGGGTTATCTACATCAGCCAGGAGATTGGAAATCTTCCATGATGTTCCATGGTTACTCCAGTTTACTCAGCCTTTAAAATCTGGCTGAGTTACTAAACATCCAACTTGACTCATGGTGCATTTTACAACTGGTTAGTAGTAGTAGTGACCCCAAGATGAACCCTCTCTTTAAGATATTTATTCTTTATTTTTGCTTCCTGAATATCTGTTATATATTTTCTCTTGGAGCAATCCTCTTATTGCGGGATGGGGAGTGCAGAGAAAGAGTATTAAATGACAATGGTGGGAGGAAGTTTAACTACTTACACTGAAGTTTCTTATTCCACAAAATGGCACACCTCTGAAAGAAGCCCCTTTTATAAGCAGCCAAAGAAAAAGTGTGCCCTTCACAATGACCTGTGCTACTTAAGAGATACTCAGGGGCAGTTCAGGAACACAGGCTGGCACTGTGTCACCTTTACTGGCTTATGTTCAGGAGTGAGGTCATGATATTTTTTTCTACTGGTAAACACGAGTTTTCCAGCTCAGTGTCTTAAAATCTAGTTACTGAGAAAATGCTCTGCATAATGGACTTAATGGCCCAAAACTGGAATAGCAGGGATCTAGAATGAGGTGTGTCAGGAGAGCTATGCTATTTATATATGGGCAGAGCTTACACAGGCAGTTCTGCATCATCCTTGCTGCTATTAATAAACTTGCAGTCTTCCTGAGTAGCTAAATTAAAATGAATCTTACATGATTAAAAGTACCAAAAATGGAAAGGAACCTTGAACCATCTCTGCCCTAGTAGCCCTGATAATTAATAGACTATATGCCCAGGATAGAAAATGACTACCTCGTGATAGGTATGATTTATAATTATGGCTCCCTAACTACAACCTTCAGTTGATTCAAGCAATTTTCTCACTGCCCTCTGCACATCAAATAACTCTTTTTGTTCCTGTGGTTCATGCTATTTTGTTTTCTCTTGATGTGGTGTTCCTTTCTGTTTTGTTCCCAAATCTCATCCATCCATGGAAATTTGTAAAAGAGTTCTCAAAAACTCTTCTCCATTTGTGTCTCTGCTGAATTCTGACTACATTTCTGGTCAGTTGCATAATTTAGTACACAATGTTCCGCACATGCCTTAGTTTAGCCCTTCTCTCTTCTTGAATTTCAAGTACCCCAACCCCTCTTACATTGCTGACCACACAGTAACATGGCTCTTGCTTCAAGGTAGGTATCCCAGTCAAACCAGTGGTGAAACTGCCATTGCAAAATTATAACAGTGAAAGCCATCTGACCTAACCAACTTCCTCTTGCTGCCAACCTCCAAGCTGTCCTTGTTCATTCCTGTGTATAGGCCAAATTAACTTTGGGAGGAACTTAGCTTATATTATAGTTTAACTTTGAAACAAAGACAGTAACAGCGCTTTCCCAAAACAAATCCCCTTCCCTCCTGGAGACTAGATTGCCTTTGTAGGACTAACAAATCAGCCACAAGATTAGAAATTATGGTTTGGGAGTCATGCAGCTGGAGGCTACAAGATTCTGACACTCTCTAAATTGCTCCTGGGGATAACATTGCTATTGTAAATCCTAAAATCAGTGCTTCAGATATTTTGCAGACCCTGCACATGGATCAGTAGGCACCACCCGATGAATAAACTGGCTCATCTATCTTGTGGCCCTGACCCAGCAACTGACTCAGTGCAACAAGACAGCTTAGATTCCCCATGACTTCATCTCTGAAGCAAACAGTCAGCATTCCCAACTCATTAGCCCCTACCCACCAAATTATCCTTCAAAACAATGATTCTTGAATTCTTGGGGAGAATGATTTGCGTAATAATAAAACTCCTGTATCCCGTTCAGCCGGCTCTGCATAAATAACTCTTGCAATTCCTCTGTCTTAATAAATCGGCTCTGTCTAGGGAGTGGGCAAGGTGAACCCATTGGGCAGTTACAGTGGCGTAGGTTCATTTTCCAGGCCCTCAATAATAAAATTTTCAATTGATACTGATCTTTTGGAAAACCCACACTTTCATGACACCAAAAGAAAATTATTAAAACAAAGGCTGACCTGAAATGCACAAGGGGTATTGTCCACACAGTAAACTCTCAAGTTGTAATCCAGTGAGTTACAGGACATGCAGCCAAAAACCGCCACCTTCAGTTGCTTCACGGCACAGTCTGTGATTGGCTCTCCAGTGAGTGCATAGGTCCCAAAGCTGTCTAGGAGCACATGACATGCAAAGGGGTCCAAAAGGCAGTAACAGGATGTGGATTCATCTTCCACTGACATCACTTCCTGTTGGGAAAGGTGTGTTTATTCTCTCACTTGGAAATAAGATGTGATCTAACCATTACATTGCCAGGACACAAATAAATGAACACACAAATATAAATTTTTTTTCAAAATAGTCCTATTGCCCAGTTATCCTGATGTTAACTGTTCCTCTTCTATCAAAGTAACTGCTGACATTAAGAACTCAAGAAATGGGCTGGGTGTGGTGGCTCATGCCTGTAATCCCAGCACTTTGGGAGGCTGAGGCAGGCAGATCACCTGAGGTCAGGAGTTCAAGACTAGCCTGGTCAACATGATGAAACCCCATCTCTACTAACAAAAATTAGCCAGGTGTGGAGGCACATGCCTGTAATCCCAGCTACTCGGGGGGGTCTGAGGCAGAAGAATCACTTGAAACTGCGAGGCAGAGGTTGCGGTAGGCTGAGATCGCTCCACTGCACTCCAACCTGGGCAATAAAGCAAGACTCCATTTCAAAAGAAAAAAAAAAAGAAAAACTCAAGAAATGGTTATGTTCAGTGTGCTAGAATTTCTACTTCATTGGTTATAATAACAAAAATCACTTTGAAAGTTCTATTTCTGGCTAATTTGTTCAATGTTGAGTTTTAGAAATCTTAAACCTTATCAATAAGCAACCGTTTTATTTTATTTTATTTTATTTTATTTTTTTACAAACACCTGTTTCTGACAACTCTTTAAATATCCTTAAGGTAATGTTGATTTTCTCTCAAACATTTTATCTTCTTTCATCCCACTGAAATCATTTACAAGGGACTACTAAATAAATGAATTAGATAACATGTACTAGAATATTTCACCCTCCCTGATAAGAACTTTAGTATATGTGACTGGTTTGATAGAGCATAAATATAACACCATCTGTGTATAAGAGATTGTGAGGAAGTGCTGGGAAGAAAAATTAAAGTGGCAAAAATCAAAGCAAAGCCAAACATAATGGGAAGAGGACGAAAACATGGCCCTTCAGGAAACCCATGGAACTTCATGCCCCAGGAAATCTGTTCATGGTTGCACTAAGACACACTAAATAGCAGAATGCATTCCAGAATAAAGAAAATAGTTTCAAGACACTAGTGGGCAGGGTAAAGGTAATCCATTGCAGCAACTGGGAATTTTCTTCTCCTAAAGAAACATGATTTTCCTTTTACTTCTTTGGCCTGAAGTGCCTTCTGGGAGGAAGACCCTAGGGCTGGCTGGAACAGGTCATTGTGTTCCAACAAAGATAATTTTCCCAGTTTCATGCAAGCTGACTGCAGATGGACATAAAGGAAGCCCTATCAGGCAGATAAATCAGAGCTTTCACTTAAAATAGTAATTCAACTGCAATCTGTCTTTGCTGTGACTGTCTCCCCTGTTGTTAATGTCTTATTATGTATCCTCATTCTCTTTCCTTGTCTCCTACTGTATCCCTTTTGTATGCACTCATATACACAGGAAACAGACACTGATAATAATTCTCAATGCATTCGTTAACTAAAAAAAAATTTATTAAGCAGCAAATGTGTTCCTGATTAAACATAGTTACCTTAGAATCCCCAGGATGGAAAAAAATAGACATAGTTATTTTCCTTCTGAACACAGCCTGCCTGCCCTGAACCTCCTCCCTAACTCCACAGAGGCCACAGAATAATGTCCATTAAGACAGGGACAAGGCCAAGGAGGAAGTGAAGGGGATCAATGAGCAGGTATATAGGTGTAGATGAATATGTGGGTAATTACAACTGTATTCTAAAACCAAACAAGAAAGCTCTGGATTATCCCTTGCTTCTCTTTTCTATTATAATGGGGAAACAAACAAACAAACAAACAAACAAAAACTAGCCAATATGTTTAGGATATTATAAAATACTTGCCACCAACCCTTTGCCAACAAAGAAATGCTGATTTGTGGTGTTAGATGTCAAGGTTAAATCTATCCCATAGGTGGAACCCAAATTCCATTGTTTAAAAAAGGAAGTAAACGGTCTCACCTCCCATTTGCCCTGCTGTGTCCTCTTCTTTAAATGGATATTCCAGTGCTCAGAACTGACATCTGCACAGTGTGGGATGGTCAACGCAAAGGGAGTGGTGACGATCATGTCTGGAGGACCACAGGTGACTTCAGGACTCAGGAGCACCTCAGAGCCATCTGACTGGAGGCTTCACAGTTGAAAAAAGGATAAAAGAGAGGAGTATGTAGAGGAAGGGCCATATTTGAATGAGAATTTGGTTGACAGACTGGGGTTTTCTTCAGGCTTATAAATATTCCTTTCCAGGATTTTCTTTTACAAAGGACTGGTCTGGAGAACAAGCAATTGTCATGAAGCTCTCAGACACACGGAGGGAGTTTAAGCCTAGATTTCAAATCTAGGTTTTGATAAACCCACCAACAAAATGACAAGCGCTTCTTTAGAAATACAGGGCAGAACTGGAGAAAGCAAAGGCCTGGCTGGTGGGTCATGCACCAGCTACTGAATCCTTATTATTGTTGATGCCATTATCAATGAGCAAACAAAAGCTTTATAGAAATGACTGATCTCGTCATCTCATTACCATCAAATTCCTTTCTCACGAAAACACAATCTAAAATATTCTTAATGCTGGAAAATGATAAAGCAAATTATTATGAAGCAAAACAGTATTTTGAAGATACAGACTAAGTATGTCTATTCTGGCTTTGAAAACATTTATTTTTTGCCAATGAACAAATACACAGCTTATATAGCAATAGCACAGTAGACAGCTACAAATGTGCATAATATCATACATAAATGTATATCTTTCAACTCTTTTCTATTTTAGATCTAAATTTAAAATCATTCAATCCAAGACTGGTGTTCAGCTTTTCTGAATTGTGAATTATTTACAGTGAGAATGCAGAGTCATGGAACAGATCAAAGAAAGTGAAAGTTAACTAAAATGGAATCATCATACCTCATTGAATGCCTCCCTCTTTCATGTCTTTGGCTTTTGTTTTTAATCTGCACCCCCAAACAGTAAGGGGGAGTAGTTCACAGAACAGTAATCAGTGAGAAGAACCCAGATGTCTGCTTATTTTTCCTCTAATGGCATATGTGTTCTTCAACAACCTATTTGATCCTTTGTTTGCTGGATTTTCACTTGTAAGAAAAATAATAATATTGAATATCGAGCAATGCTATGGGAGAGCTGGAATTGGTATTATTACCAAAGCTTTTACTTATACTACCTAGGAAGGACATTGAAATATGTCATCCTTGACTAAAAAAGCAATTCCTTGGGCAAAATAAAGATAAAATTTAGTGCTAAAAGATACCATCTTTCCCACGATCTTCTATAAACAAAGAGTTTTTCTCTGAGTTCATCTAATGTGCTATTCATTTCTGAATTGCTTATGTTGACATCTATTCTCTCAAGTTAGTAATGGTTATACTTGAGCTCATTATCTATCACTTGCTGCTGCAATAAAGCCAAGCCATATAATTGAGGAGCATCTTATGTCTACTCCATCTAAAACAGTAGATGTAACATTATCACATTTTCTCCTCCCCTCTCCAAGAAGCCCTGGAGATGCCTTTAAAAAGTTGAGTCTCCCACAAAGGTAACCACAGTCCAAAATAGACAATTCTTCCTATACAAGCAAAACACAGGTTAAGATGGTCATGTCTTCATTTACCCTTAAGTAGGGGAGGCGAAGAGAGGGGCCTGGAAAGCAGTGTATTAGCAACATCAAATGATGTGGAAAGCCTAGAATAATATACTCAAGGTTTGAAAAAAAAACATAAAATTCAAATGTGCAGTCTGTATGTGGGTGCCTGCCAGCGGCCATCAGAGAGGGTGAAGCGCTTTCCATGTAATTACTGCCTGCATTCATCATGGACAGGAATAGCAGGGATGCTTATGAGTGACCGATGACAAGCTCTCCTAAAAGAACTATTTAATTGCTTTCAGAGAATTATCCTCCTTGTTGAACATATTGTTCAAACATATGGGAATTTGGGGAATTATTTAATGCCAAATGAACTGAAATCAGCTAATTAGATGAACTCTCACACTCATGAATAGCAAGACTCCTTTCACAGTGGTAACTTAAACAGCTTTAGGAGTCAGAGGCAGTGCGTATTGAATACGAGCCAGGGCATGGAATAGGAGTTTTGTATTAAATAGGCATTAGGCATTTCCTTAAGTGCAAAGTAAGTAAATCAAGATTTATATTTAATCCTCCCACTGTGAAAATAGTGGCCATGGGTATAGGTCTCTCTCTGGTGAAGGAACAAAACTTCACCAGAAGTTCACCAGAACTGCACAAAAATCTCTCAATATTTTTTCTCCCCATGATTAATAACAATTTGCCCTTTTCTGCTACCTTCTATCTGTAACAATCAGGGAGATTTACAAATATTAATTAAAGCTCTTCGCACACCTATAGAGGCAGGTGTTAACAGCATAAGGTCACAGGGGAGTCAATCAAGGTGATGGCAGGAAAATAACCCCAAATTTCTCACTCACAGGCTCTCGCTCTCTGTGACCAGACTGTACTTTTCTACTCTGTTACCATTAGGAGATTTCTGGCCAAATTGCTGGATCTTATGACATCCCAAGGAAAGATCAGGGAAGGGGGTTGCAATATAGTCCAAGGGTAATCATGGATACAGATTCAGGACATTTGAGGACAGAGGGCTGGGGAGCGAAGCCTTTGATTGGATGTGGACAAAAAAATGAGCCTTCTTAAGGAAATCACAGATGGCGTTTAAACTTTCTAGCATTGCATAATCCACAACAAGGCAGTATACATGTCCCTGCTGGGGCGGGGGGGAGCGCATAAAAAGGTAACACATTTTTTTAAAATTGCTGTGAGCTAATAATAACTGTGAACTAATAAAAGCAGTGATTTCAGGATAAAAATATGAACCACCTCAATGTATCACATACCCTAGTGTGGTCTGTAGACTGAAAAACCTTTTTGCATAGAACTTTTGCTACTTAATGTTTTTCATTGTTCTCTATCTATACATACATATGCACATATACATACATGCATATATATTTGTAGTTTAAATGCTGTGTATAGATAGAAAAAGTTTAACAATTTGAGCCTGGTCTTATTTCTATAGGAACTCTGCTTTCTGAGATGATTAATTCATGCAATTTTCATACATTGTCATTGCATCGATGTACGCTTTGACTTAAATTCTCAATGCCTTAGGAATGTGCATGATGGGCATTTAAGGCTCCTTGGAAATGATGCTGGTCTCCTTGCTTTTATTCTTGCCTTTCACAGTCTGTCCTCCATGCAGCCACCTCAGTCATCCTACCAAAAATGCCAGTGTTTTCTCACCTCATGGAATTGCTACAATTCGTACTCCTCTGGAGTGCTGGGTGCTGCCTGGAAGAGCTTTCCCCTAGACATCCACATGATTTACTCGCCTTGTGCCTGTCAGGTTCTTGCTTAACTGACATCTACTAATGAGGTTTTCTCTGACCAGGCCTTGGTAATTGCAACATTCCCAATACTAAAAGCGGATCTTTGTTTGGCTTTTTCTCCTCAACACTTAATTCCCTCTAGTGTACCATACCATTTGCCTATTTATTGTTATTTTTTTCTGTCCCACTAACTAGAATGTAGGCTCCTTGAGGCCAGGGAATTTTTTTTTTTTTTTTTTTTTTTTTTTGAGACAGAGTTTTGCTCTTGTTGCCCAGGCTGAGGTGCAGTGGCACCACCTTGGGCTCACTGCAACCTCCGTCTCCTAGGTTCAAGTGATTCTACAGCCTCAGCTGGGATTACAGGCACGTATTACCATGCCCAGCTAATTTTTGTATTTTTAGTAGAGATGGGGCTTCACCATGTTGGTGAGGCTGGTCTCGAACTCCTGACCTCAGGTGATCCACCCACCTCGGCCTCTCAATGTGCTGGGATTATAGGCGTAAGCCACCACCCCTAGCCCAGGGATTATTTTTTTTTCTGCTTAGCTCATCATTGCATCCCCAGTGCTTCATATATGTTGGTTGAAAGCATTCAAAAATACTTGTTGAAAAGGACACAGAAGCCAGCTTGAAGAGATTCTCACTGATCAAATCTGGAACCTTTTGAGCATCAGAGTAAATCATGGCAGTAAAGAATTATAACCTATTGAGTCATACTATAAGAATCCACAAAATAAAAATCCACATAAGAATGAATCAATGAGAAGGGAAAACTCTTCCACATAAAACCAACAAATAAATGTCGAAAACCATCAATTAGCAATCAGCTACATTAATACTTGGTTGAGAATCATAAATGGATGTTAACCTATTGGATGAGAGTTTAAACAGCAATAAATAACTATTTACACATTCTCAAAGTATCTTCCCACCAGGTACTTAACTGTTTACCAAGGGTAAAAGAGTACTTCACAGCAGACGCCACCTAACATGAATGACAAAGTTAACGTTCCCTGGAATGGGATGGATCCACAGAATATCAGGACACAGTGAAGGGAACCTAGCATCACTTCTGTGACATTCCGGCTAAAAGTCCACAGCCTGAATCTCCTCATAAGGAACCATTAGACAAGCTCAGAGGAAAGCACATTCTGCAAAATAACTTATCTGCACTCTTCAAAGCTGTCAATGTCATGAAATACAAAGATTCAGGAACGGTTCCAGATGAAAGCAGACCAAAAGCACAGGACAACAGAATGCAATGAAGTGACCTGGACTTTAATTTGCTCTCAAGGACATTATTCAGACAAGTGAAATATAAATAACGTGTGTAGTATACTAAGAATATTTTATCAATATTAATTTCCTGATTTTGTTAATTGTGCTATGTTTATAGAAGATAATTTCTTGGTTGGGGGATATATACATGAAAGTATCTAGGGATCAAGGGTCATCTTGTTCACGGTGGTTAGAAAGTATATATATGCACATATATATATTTTATTCATTTTTGTATATATATGAAGGAGAGAGGAAAGAGACAAATACAGAAAATTTAGTAAAATATTAACTTTTGTGACTCTGAGTGTAGGGCACACAGGAAGTCTTGATATTATCCTTGCAACTTTCCCTTGAGTTTGCGATTTTGTCAAGATGATGATGATGATGATGATGATGATGATTTAAATGAATGTGGCTGTGCATGGTGGCTCATGTCTGTAATCCCAGCACTTTGGTAGGCTGAGGTGGGGTATCAC